GGCAGCATCTACCGCATTGATAGATGCTCGTAAACTCATCCCACCTGGCTCTGAGCATAACGAAGAGCGGAGTCAACTTAATCGCAGGCTTATAAGAAGTCTACGTAATGATCGTGAACAGTGGTGGGTAGCGAAAGCAAGAGAGATGGAAAAGGCAGCGGCAATAGGTAACAGTAGGCAGCTATTCAGACTCGTTAAAGAAACCGGTATTAGGAACCCGAATATCAGTGAAACCATCTCAGATAAAGATGGGCATATTATTCATTCTCAATCCAGGAGGTTGGATCGATGGGCAGAACACTTTAGGGATCAGTTCAACTGGCCTTCAGCCACACTTCAATTACCCACGATCCCCAGTCGTCCTGAATGGCAAATTGATGTAAGTCCTCCAACCCTCTGTGAGGTTGAAAAAGCTATAGGAAATCTGAAGCGAGGGAGAGCAGCAGGCCCTGACAGGTTGTCCCCTGAGATTTTTAAGGATGGTGGTCCAGTACTAGCAGTGAGATTGACTGAGGTCTTAGGTAGAATCTGGGAACTGGACGTAATTCCATCTGACTGGTCCCAATCACTGATTGTGCCAGTCTATAAGAAAGGACAAAAGTCCTCTTGTGACAATCACAGAGGGATCAGTTTGACTAATATAGTGTCTAAAATATTAGCTTCAATAATACTAGGTCGCCTAACCAAAGCTCGTGAAGAGCAGACTAGAGAAAACCAAGCTGGTTTTCGACCTGGACGTGGTTGCATAGACCAGATATTCACCCTACGTCAGGTTCTAGAACATAGACACAAATTCAGACGTCCCACAATAGTAGTATTTCTTGACCTTAAGGCGGCATTTGACTCTGTTGATCGTGAGGTTCTATGGCAATGTTTGTCACTGAAAGGAGTACCAAAGAAGTACATTAACCTCATAAAGGCTCTCTACTCGAGCACAACTGGTCGAGTTAGAGCCTATGGCGAACTGTCATCAGAACTGATTACCACAAGTGGCGTTCGTCAGGGCTGTCCACTCTCCCCATTCTTGTTTAACTTTGTCATTGACTTACTTTTAGAGATAGCACTTTCATCAGCTAAGCCTCCAGGAGTTGAACTTTTACCAGGAGGCTCACTTGTTGACTTAGAATACGCCGACGACATAGTTTTACTCGGTGAAGACGCTGACAACATGCAGAGTCTTCTGACCACTATAAGCAACTATGCAGGCATGTTCGGGATGCGATTCTCTCCCTCGAAGTGCAAAATGTTACTTCAGGATTGGGTTGTATCGGCACCTGAACTAATGATAGGGAGTGAAGTAGTTGAGCGTGTAGACCACTTCACTTATCTTGGGAGTCTCATCAGCCCTTGTGGTCTGGTATGTGACGAAATCTCAGCACGGATACAGAAGGCTCGTCTAGCTTTCGCCAACTTGCGTCATTTATGGCGTAGGCGAGATATCCGTCTAGCAACCAAAGGACGGGTTTACTGTGCAGCAGTTCGCTCCGTCCTACTCTATGGCAGTGAAACATGGCCAATAAGAGTAGAGGATATTCGTAGGCTACTAGTGTTCGATCATAGGTGTCTTCGAAGCATTGCTCGTATATCCTGGGACCACCGGGTAAGTAATGCAGTTGTTAGGAAACGAGTACTAGGTAGGGATGGCAAATCGATTGATGAAGTAGTGAAACTTCATCAGTTGAGATGGCTGGGACATGTGTTACGTATGCCCGACCACCGACTGCCCCGACGTGCAATGTTTCATGGTGTAGGAGTAGGTTGGAAGAAAGCTAGGGGTGGCCAGACCAAAACATGGCACAAATCAATGAAGTCACTGACAAGTGGACTGGGCCATGTTGGTAGGTGTAGACTACCTGGTTGGGATTCGCGAGATGACAGCAACCGATGGTTAGAGGCCTTGAATGACATGGCTCAAAATCGTTTGCAATGGCGAAGATGCATCCACTCTTTGTGTTCTACCAAATTCTAATCTTCTGAATTCCTCATGTCTTTATCTTTTTCTCTTTCCAAATTTATTTCACTGTACTATACTCCTTCAATAATTTCTTCAAACCCCTAATCTTTTGGATTTCTGATTATACTCCTACTACTTCTACCACTATGGGATTTGAATCGACAACTGCATCTCTGTGCTAATGTGGTATGGCAACTCGAACTGATGTACATACGTACGAAGTTCTACGTTGTGACTGACTGAATAATAAATTAACAAATTAATAGTAAATGGTGTCTTGTTTAAACACCTACATGATTATCCTTTAGTTTAACCCGTAAATTTTGGACTATACTAACACAAACTCACCCCAATCATTGCCATGGCTCCATACAAAATCTTGGTAAAATCCAGTTGAAGGTAGAATCTAATAGTTTGAACGATTATGAATAGTTCGAAAATTAACTTAATTGTCAAAAATAAAAAATCCAATACCAGTCAAAGAAAAATTGTTTTTAACTTTTAAGTTCTCTGATGAATCTTACTGAGAAAAGAAACAATGGCTAAAAATTCCTCTCATGTTATATGATTTCCGCTAATCAACTGACTTGAACTGAGGAACAACAGAGAATTGAAAACTGAAATAGGTTATTTTGGCAAGTTGGATTTTTTTACTAGGACTATGTAGCTTAATTTGGGTGTCAAACTTTTTCACCATTCAATGTCTAACTAAGCAACACTATGAACTCCAAAAAGTAATAACGGCATATAATTAGTGCAAAATCATTTTGACAGGTTTTATAATGATCCCCATTAATTCTACTGCAACTGCTTTACTACGTAGTCCCGATGTGCTATGATCCTTGACTTTATAATTAGTAATAGTTTCTAGAATTTCACTCTGAGCTGGAATCGTTCTTGAAATTAGTTATTAAATAACACCCTTGATGTGAGCCCTGAAGTTTCTGTTCGGTGAAACACTTTTCAATAAAGCATATATTCAATTACTTTTTAATGCAATGGTTCATTCGTAATGTAGAAATCTATTATTCTTCAAACTTAATATATTTAGAAAAACTACTAAATCTAATCGGATGCAGACCAGGTTGTTTATTTTTGCCTATGATTAACGCAAAATACAATCATGGAGTTTCAGAAAGCATGTATTATTCATCTTCCTTGGTGTCTTTCACTTAGCAATTTTCGTAAAAATGGACGACTTCTGTACAAACACATTCAGAAGATCGTGTTACTTATTTTAACTCATATTTCGTATCATAGAGCCGTACATAGTTCATATAATTTATTTAATCTTAGTCATTCTTCCTTCAACCAAACACTACTTAAAATAAATAAAACTAACATAACTTTTGTTATATCTCAATAAGTAGAAAAATTGCATTTCTGACGTTTCGTGACTTAATGTAAGCCACTTTTTCAGAATAGATACATAATTGAAGTGACTTACATTAAGTCACGAAACGTCAGAAATACAACTCATCTACTATTCGGATATGACGAAATATATATTTATTATTAACTCTCTACCCAATGCTCAATTTATTTGAAAATATGAAGTCCAACGTCGGCATTGATATCTATGAACTTACATAAACTTTCGATAAAATCCAAGATTGTCAAATGAATGTAAGTTTATCGGTGATCCTACTATTCAATATTGAAAGTTAATAGTAACACATTATTATATTTCATGTCAGTGGAATTTACTGACGGATATTTCACACATACCATTTGAGCGAATTTGTATCCGTTTTGTTTAGACTGATTATTCTTCTTTCAGAAAGTTTAGAATAGAATCAAATAGTGAAAAAGAATATTATTCCACTTTAGTTTAAGTTTCATATAGACTTCATCTCTTATAGTGTATATAATACACAAAGTCTTTACGTACATGATAAGCTTCGATGCATTGTTAGTTTGGAATTTACCTTATACACATTTGAAATATTGATTATAAATATTGAAGTGATATTTTTTTGTTCATATTATCGATTGACAGTTATGTTATGAACAGTATATTTCTTATGTAAATAAATAAGATTAGGTCCTGTAAATTATTAGTGAATTATGTCAGAAAGAAATACATTTATACTTTATGATTAATGCTTTTTTCTGTAGTCTTGCATACTTTCTGCAACCTACATAATCTACTTATGTTACAATAAAACTAGGTCCTTTTTCTTTTAACATTTACTCATCATAGATTTGTAATCTGGGATATAAACTTTTATGGTGTAAACGTAAAATGGTTGTTTAACAAATTAAACAGTGATTCAACAAGACTCATGACAAGTTCATTCTCCCTTTGTAACTCATACTCATCATGCAGTGTATACTAATGCTTCATGCTTCCGTGATCATTTTTACAGCCACGAAAGTAATTTCACTACCACTATTACTAAATTTTTGGACGAAACTAGGTCTAAATAACAATTTAACTAGTCTTTAACTGAAACTTTTCTTGTGCTATAGTACAGATTTACACAAAATTTGATTTTTCACCTTAAATCAGTGGATATTCTTTATAGGATACCAAATGAATTCTATGATGTTTCTTCCTCAAAAACCAAAATAACTATAAGATCTGTTGGGAACCTGTCTTAACTTACTTTCAAGTTCTTTGGATAATGAAAACTATAAATCCGCCACCGAATCAAATTTAGGATTTTGTAGTAAACACATTAATGTTGAAGCATTAAATGAGAAGTGAATTATGGACAATTTGTCAAATATAACAAACGGACTTCATAACGTAAACATTTGATTATTCCATTTCAAGGCGACCTCTCGATCACAACATTACAACGTCCAATTACTCATTTAAAATCCAAAGATCTCTGAACAGCCAAGTTTCTTATATACAACGAATAAATCAAGTGACTACACGAAGAATGACCTCCAACAAAAATTCGTCGCAAAACCACTGTAAAATTGGAGAGTAGTGAATAAGAACAATGGTGCTAATTGTAATCTGACTTTCATTTCATCCTTATAAAACGATGCTATATGTTGGTGATTTACCTTTCACTTTAAATATAAACAAGAATAAAATTCAAACAGTTTTATTTATTGAGTAATGAATGTGTTTATCTTATCAATATAGTTTCTCTCTGAATTGTACATACGCAATGGAAATTCTGGTGTAAGTTAGAAAATACAATACAAATAAGATAATGTGTGAAAAACTATACACACAGACATATGACATGTTGGTTTAAATACAGAAATCTGTTTGATAGTTTTATAAGTCTTTTCTCGAGCGTTTGAAGAAAAGGGAACAATAAATAGCAGATGAAGAGAGAGACGGCAATGAAAATATAAGATATTACTATGTTGGAAACAAAGAAGATAAGGAAAAGAGAAATTGAGGAAGGAAACCTAATACCAAGAAACGACAAAACTAGACTCGAAAAGGAGAAAAGGCACACACGCACATATACAGCACAAAGTAAGCAGTGTTGAGATAGGGATACAGAAACACAGCAAAGTATAGAAAAGAGAGGCATCAGAAACGGCACTGTAAAGATTGGAACACGCAAGGCAGTGGTCACGATAAAAAACAATCAGAGTGAAAGTGATTCGTTATAGTTCATTTTACGCATACACTTGATTGAAAACAAGTAATTATAACATTCGAGCGGGGAGGGAGAGAGAGGATGGCAACAGTCATCTAAAGACAATCCAGAAAAAAGATCAAATAATAACACAGCATAAAATATTTCAAAATTATTTCATGTTGAAGTATGAAAATGAAAGAAACTAGGCAAGAGAAAAATAGCTAAATCATTATGCAAAATCACAACAAACAAAAAACGATGAGATTCAACGAAAGTAAAATAAAAAAGGGCATATTTATCTACGGTTCGTTGACATTGAAATATATATACCAGGGCATACATCGATATTTGTGTCTTTTTGTTTATGTAAAATCGACTGCTTCCAAATTAAATGTATAAATGGTAAAGAATCGTGGTGGGAAAAAAACCAAAGAAAACGTCAGTCATGTTTATTTTTCACCACAAAACAAATCGACTGAGTTGATTTGTCAAGGTCTCTTTAAAGCGGATTTCTATTACACACGCACAAACACCCGTAAAACCCTACATATCGGTTATGAAAAGAAATACATCGAATTAGCAGAGTTCATAGCATTGAGCTAAATTAGAATGTGGAATAGTATTCCAGGAAAAAATCAGTAGCACTTCAGACAGAATGGAAATAATTTATACAGTAAGATAAAAGTGTTTTCGTGTAATACATTAGTTTATACGAATTGTTTGTACATTTTTGAGTAAACAAGTAAACAACAACGAAAAATAAACTAGAGTGAACCAGTAAACAAATGAAAATTAAATTGAATAATAACAGATTGGAGACTTAATAAGACTTGAACCACACACATCATAAAAGTGTACCCACTTATTACCACCAGCCCTTTCTATGAGGTATAGGAACAATAAGTAGTAAATGTATGTATTAGTAAATAAGAATAGATGGATAGTGAGTAGCATAATTACTCACTTTTTCTACTGTACATCATAATCACATGGATTGATTGTTACAGTAATTTCCTAGTCGCTTAGTTTTATTTTATGTCAAGCATACACATAATAATATACTCCGTCCAATATCACCGAGACTGTATATGTGTACAAATATTATCATTACTATTAACATATGCAACTGAATAAAAATTGAGACTATTGAGAAATTACATTTCATGAAGAGATGAATAAATAAATGAAGAATATGAAAGTATGTACTAATACATACGGCTTTGTGTGTGTGTGTGTGTGTGTGTACAAACATTCCTGTTAATCAAAAAGCTAATTAAAATGCTGTCGCCAAATCACAGGTTTCATTTGTTTTAGTCTGTTTGTTATTACCTGTATCAATTATCTGTAAAATATATTAAAAAAGGGAGCAAGAAAAAGACAATTGAAAATATGATAGTAATATTGATCGCATTACTAAAATTGTTATTATTATAAACGCGTTAAAAAATTACGTAAAATCACATTACAGCACACGCACAATGTGGCTTTAAAAAAATCAATAAGGTATATACACCAATAGCAAAACACACATGTATAACAGGTGTACAAACATGGATGTATGTTTGTGTGCTGACGTGTTTGCCAATATAATAATGTGCAATGTGTATTAAGAGCACAAAAAAATACAAAAATTTTTATTGAGGTTCATAAACAAAAAGTTTATACACACAGAAAAACTAGACTGTAACCTTAAATCATAAGATTTTCTCAAAGCGATAAATTTGAGAGATTTCCATGTGAATCTAAAGTATCATATTCTCTGAGCTAGACAGTTTGACTGAAGAGATTTTAACGCCATCCTAGACATTTACAGGGCATATATATATATATATATATATATATATATATATATATAATCTGTGCTATAAAATACAGCGATCCGTAAAATCCACAAACTATTACAGTAGTCACTGCAGAGTTTGTACAGATTATTAGATATTGCAGATTACACCACAGGGTGATCAGATTTAAAAATTAGTGGTGAATCAAGAAGGATTGAGCATCTATTTAATACCAAAACAAGACTTCGTAACAGTATGAATTCACATCCCAACCACTAATCAAACCCAAGAACTTCAGATTTCCCTCATTTATTCAGTTGATCCTTGCTGGATATTTCTAAAAAAAGATCTTTCTTGATTCATGAGTGTAAATACATACAATCCATAGTGATCACAAAATACTAAAAAACTGAGAGTTACCACAAACTAATACAGTCTAGTAGCTAGAAACTTAATCGATAGAGGCAATATTGTCAACTTTCTTACAGGACTCAAAATAACTAACAGACAAAAAGTGTGGTTTCATTATATTACGTACAAGCAGTTTATTGTCCGAACTTGGTGACGATGTTCTCTAAGTCTGATTAATTCAAGGCACGACTAAAGGTTCTTGTTTAAAGACGTTTAAGCGTACTGAATTGCACAATAAAACACTAACCTCAACGATTTAGGTTTAGTAAAGTGAACCACTGAAGGGTCAGACCGGATCAATGTGGTAGGCGTTTACTTATCGATCATCATTATCCATTTCATCCACTTCAAATGATTTTTTTCTCTAATTCCTGATACTTATTCACCTAATTCTTAAAACTGTAAAATTTTCGGATTTTTTACAATTATGATACAGTCTATTTTATCAATTTTCGAATTACAAGTAATAACTATCTCAATTGCATTTTATTTTCTATATCTAACTTCAAATGACCTAACGCGTCTACATGAATTAGCAACCCTTGTCAAATCAATGTTTATCATCTAATCTTATTTCATACTTTAATAAAAATATGGTTATGAGCAGTTGACGATAACCTACGAAATAGAAATGAATTTATACTATTCTACATAAGTTGTTGTCTTTGCTTTCTATCCAGATTCACTAAAGGAACTAATTAAACAGAGTACGCAACTGTTTGAAAGTCAAATCTATGTGATAAAAGTTGTTTATGTGTCAAGGTATGAAAGCATCTTGGAAATAATTTAAAATGATCTGTAGCTCGACTTAACCAAGTATTTCAGTTATTCTATATAGACTACTAATTTCACATTCACGTATATTACACATTCTTTCATAATATTTACAGGAAAAAGGGAAGAAGATACTAGGTGGTAGTATTTTAAAGATACTTCACTAGAGTTAATTCTTCAAACAACAATGAAAACATTTCCAGAGAAGAAATTTTAGCTTGTAAACATCATCGTGGAATGTCAAAATCAACCATACAATAAAATCAGTAACCTGAATAAATTCACATTTAAAAGTTGTTTAATTCCATTTATTATAAAAATTCACTAGAAAAAAGGGTGTACAGATAATTTTGAAATTAAGACTAAAAACACCAAGTGAAAAAAGATACACATGATATGAAACAATCAAGAGTAGACAGAGTACGAAACCTTACATGGGTTATCATATTTTTATTGATTAGACATGTGCTCTAACATTTCCGAAATTGCAGAATTATGAATTAACTCCGTAATGGTTATCGCTAACAGTGCAACATGAAGAAACAAGCCGTTACATAAGGTTCACAAGGAAAAACAACCAGTCAGCTGATAAATTTGCAAGAGGTTAACACAATAACCCAGTGCTTTAGAAACTTGACTAATAATAAGTAGATAGTGGTTTCCAAAATTCATAAACACGTATATTGGTTATCAAAAGTGAATAATATCTTTAGTTCTTTTCCAATTAATACAGCTTATAGCCTACTATCTGTATCTGAACCTAGTTAGTTTATGTTATCTTATAGAGTAAGTTCGAGAATTAAGCATTCGTGAAAAAAATGACCGAATAATTTATTTGTATCCACTACAATAGTCAGCAGTAAAACTACTCATTTAACAATTTATCATATTACCCACCAATTAAATATATGTTTACACGAAAAGATACACATGTTCTAAACAGTAACTTCTGTCAATCATCCAAAGTCATTTATTATTGGTAAATTGGTCTAATACATCACATAAATTGATTTGAGTAGTAAAGAGACTCAGCTCACCACACTGACTGGTTTTTGACTGGAGTTTATCTTGTTCAATACTTAATGAAGAGACTATAGGATACTGACTGATAAACAGTACATTACTCAACAATTAGTTCATTTTTGCTTGTATTTTTCCCTCTTGATATTAAGGACTGCAACGGATCGCTTTCATTGGACATGGGTACATCGTAAACGGATTGCTTCGATATTATCAAGTTGCATAGTGCCTATGAGTGCGAACCACGAGAGACATCTCGTTCTATTTAGGACTTCTTAAATGGATATACCTGCAATTAGATGCTGATTTTTGTATTGAGACTCGAACTTGGCACTATTTTGCTTCAAACGCCTGTGCTATCCACTGAGCTATTGAGCCCAGACTGTTATAAATCCTTAATAAAATATTCCCCTTCATCATTAGTAATGACCACTCGTATATCAATGTGAATTATTTCATAATTAAAATTCAAGCTTTTTTAAAAATTGCGTCTTTAGATCTGAAGTTGACAAAGTATGATAAGACATGAATGAGCAATTGTCCTAAATTATGATTATTTATTGATAAACAACAGGTGATTCATTTCGAAAGCCTAAGCGATCAAAATTATTGAGCTTACTGTTCAATCATTATTACTTCTAGTCAGTCATCCAGTAGTACACAACGTAGAATACGACACATATGGGTATCGATTCAAGTTGCCTTAGCACAATAACAGAGATCCATGAAATTATTTCAAGACGTATCAACGAGTGGTAGAAATGGCAACAGGATCAGTAAAAGTAGGAAAGATTAGGCATAGAAAAGAAAAAAAAGGTTATGAAGTTTCGAGAACAAGGTTATAAAGAAAGACAAGGAGTGAATGGATTTGGACTATTGCGAACGATTATGAAATGTGTCACCCGAAGTTTCAAATCACTCTAACCATCATGTTAACTTTAACCAAGTAGTTTAGACCTACTAACGAGGCTCAGAAAAAGTCAGTAACTTGACGGGTTGATTCCCGGTCTTGGTTAGGTCACCTCTAGCATTCTTCCAAACTGATACACTACACAGCATCAGCCACTGAGGCAGGCGTGGTTAGGCATAGGCAACGCAACACGTGTCCCAACTAACTATGCTGGTGAAGATTCATTAGCTCATTGATCGTTTCGCAATATTTACCTAACACCCTGTGCGAAACCCCGAGACTGCTCACTTGGTGGTGCCAAAATACACGAGCGATGTTTTGAAGACACTTATAATCAAATATCCTCCATTATTAATAGCCATGTCTCACATCCATGAAGCAGAACGGAGCGACCTGTTGGGCATAAAATGAGTCCTTTGGTTAACAGACAGATATCTCGTCTGCCAACCAAGCGATATAAACTGTCAGGGTCAGCTGAGCTTTCTGAATCTATGTCGGGATTTCGTCAAATATTAGCCAATACGAGCAATTGAAACTCCTAAGATACTGAAGGAGTCAATAAGCTCAACTACTTCACTCCCTGCCATTCACTCATCAGGCGCTGATGCAGGCCACGATGTACAACTGTTATTCTTTTACTACCTTTAATGATAACTCTTCTGTTTATTTAAAGTATTCATAACGTAGTCTATAAAATATGAACTAAATGTAATTCGATTTAACGATGATTTCCATTTACCGCGAGATCATTAAATTGTTTCTATTGTACATGAAGCAAGAATGTAAATTACAAAGTTATAGTGTTGTGCTTCATCAAATTTCAACAAGAAAAAACTCAATTATTTATATAAAAACTAAAAACACTTAAAAAGCTGTTCTATGAAATTTTTCATTCAACCAATTCAGTGACGTAAAGGTCTATGCGATTGAAATACACCAATCATATATATATATATATATATATATATATATATATATATATATATATATATATATATATATATGAGAGAAAATCTTGACGAGCAAACACAAAAATGTTTGTATTTTTCTTACGTCTTTTTGTGTTGAACTTATTATGCAAAATGTGTACCATCTATGGATACACGAGTTTATATTTGAATCTGTAAAAATTAAAAGTGTTGATATGACCAGAAGAGAATATATATACAGAAACACAATGAATTTATCTTATTTTCTTATGAAACACAAATACATAAAAATCTTTCCCAAAAAATTACTATATATAAGCAATTGAATGAGAAATCGGGTGACAACGTTGATTAGGGAGACCTATGAAACTAAAATAAACGTTTAATCGACTACAAAGCTCGTATTCCATTTAATTGATTTGAATGAATTTCGATAGCCCATTGCACATGGTTATGTACTAAGCTTTATGTCAGATTAATTATGTACGAGGACTATGGGATTACATACTGCTTGCTATTTGGCTTTCAAAACCAAAGTAGACAGAAATTAGTTTGGAATTACAATCCAAGCGGATGAATATTAAATAAGTGGAAATTTAATTGAATTCTACTCTATGACTAGTATAAGATCGAATAAGGAGTAAGAATAATAGTCAAGCTCATCTACTTGATCCTAGGTCAAACTTATTGATATAAGGACTTCTAAGAATGCCCAAATTTAAATCTGGCTTAATTTTGAATAGAGATTTCTAAAATTGAAAAAAAACGATGATGTTTCGAAATATACAGGTTATGAAGCGTCATAATATACTTATATCCCAAACTAAAGAAACTCAAAAACATTCGATCATAATCTAAACTTAAGGTGAGGAATTGCAGATGCATCACCGATGTCGTCATAATACAATTTTTAGGCTTTATCTATCGTAAAAATGAAACAGAGTTGAGTTCATAGAAATACTTTTTTTCTTTTTCTTTGAGTCCTATCATATTGCATCGGTTGGTTGGAGATTTTACAAGAAACTACATTTAAAAGAATAACATTCAGTGAGAATTCTGTTCTTTATCCATACCATTTATCCTTATCAACAGGTTGTGATCAAATAGATGGAATAGTTTCTATGGTTTTAGGTTTGAATATCTGTCAAAATAATTTACTCCAACTTTTTCTTCATTCGATCATCATTTTTATCCAAGTAGGAAAAGCATTACATTCGAAGATTAGCTCAAGTCTAAAATTGACTCATTGTTGTTAGTGCTTTGCGTTTCATCTCAATTCTTTTTTTGAATTACATCAATAGATTTCAAAGTCAGTTTATTCTAAAAAAAAGAAAATTGTTTCAATATCTACGGCAGTCACTCTGAAGAAGTTTCATTCCCATAAAATGTATATTTTTGGTCATAACCATTTAACATATAAGGCGTTGTTATAAACGGAACCTGATTCGATCAACGAACAATTGGATCGCCCATCCGGGACTATACAACACCTTTATAATGTGAACAGTAAATGTACAGTCGTTTAACGTGTTATGTACACGTAATATATTAGGCTCTAGATACACAAGATCTTGGTTAGTAAATATTTGCAAATTATTTATGAGGTCATATTCATGAAGCTGTAGTGAAGAATGAAACGGCCAATTACGGAAAATAAAATTAAGTTAGATGAAAATACTGCTAGAAAGTCTGCCCGCATTATTATTAACATTACCGTTATTGTCTGATAAGTATATTCATAATACGTGATAAAAGGAATCTAATTGTAGTTTATACATAGGAAACATCAAGAAAACATACCTCGTCTGACGACTGACGATCCTCTGTTTTAAGTCCAGTGAAATCAACAGATGATGGACGAGGTATATAATGTTTAGCTGATAATGGTAATGTTGATGATGAAGACTTAACTGAAGTAATATCTTCAATTTTAATCGTAGCTTTAGTACAAGGACGATCATTATTGTTATTACTTGTAATAATATTCGTGTTATTATTATCATTGAGGAGATTATCAGATGGCGAAACAAATTGCATTTTTGATATTCTTTCAGGCAATAGCTGGTTCTCATCATGAAGTTTATATTCCATTTCACGCTGATCATACTTGCTTGTGTTTGCATCACCATCACTTTCATCATCGTCATCATCATTGTCGAATTCATTCCAAATGGTTGATCTCATTGAAAACGTTTTAGGCGTCTCCATAATAGGTAAACTTGATGGTGGTATACGCACTAAGGGATAACATGATATATGAGATCTGGGCACAAGGCCTCGTTGACCTTCAGAATTTTCAGCTAACATCCATTCTATCTCACCAGGTGGCTCACGATCAACTATAGTGAGAAGTTCATTTGGTTTAAGCGGCAATTCATCTGGTTCTAAATGAGCATCTATGGAACCTGGTCCAGCTGCTTCTATTCCACGAGGAAAAAGTGCATAAACCCGACCAGATGCCGCAGAACCAAGACGTTCATGTTGGACTGAATGTTATTTTTTCAAGGAAAAAATCAAGAAAAAGAAGTCACTAACTGAGGTAAACGCTATTTAAAACAATTTAATAAACCGAAAGGTGTCCGTTTTAATTAAGAACTATACGTCATTGGGCAGTAATTTTCTGAACAAAGAACTTGCAAAGTTTTTTACCGGTAACATTAGAACTTCTCGCTCAAATAATGAATTTATTTTCTAAGATAAATCCTTGGAAAACTCGTACACGAAATACCAACTGAATACCAGCAACAATGATAACATATCAATTAAATAAATGAACAGAAATATGGTTGTGGAATATCGTGGCTTGATGTATACTGTCGAGGAGTCCTATACTGGGACGAAACGGACGTTCAGTGCTACTAGATTTCAAACGGTGATCTGGTTAAGATCAGCTTATGATTTAAACAGTAAAACCACTGATCAGCCGTAAAGAAGTATGATGAAGATGATAATGTTAATCTAGCATTTAATGTAGTCGTTATCGAGTTCAAGAAACGATTAGAGCCACTTTACTAAACAATCTTTAATTTATTAGCATAAACCTTTTTTGCACTTCTTAAACATAGTTTTATTGTAAAAGTGTTTGTACCTTTCTACTTGTTTAAATTCTTGTTAATGGGGATTATCAATACAATAATGCAATAACCTATATTTCTATGGCTGAGGTTATTCACAACATTTTCACTGCTCAACAGATGTATCATATTCAGTAATTTCGGACAATCCGTCCAGTCAGTCGGTTAGTGTGGTTTTAAGGCTTACAGCTAATTATATTTGTGGTCTCATTTCCGAATTCCATGCAATAGTAAACTGAAATTTTCGTAGTACACAGTGGGGGATCTTTCTTCAGAAACCTGGAATGAAGTCTTCGATAGAAACTACACTTCAATATCCAGCACTCATCCACTAAACAAGTGAAAAAAGTTCGAAAATGCTGAACACAACATGATCATTGAATATTGAAAAAACTGAATAACCACCGCCATTCTGTTATAACATGAAATTTTAACTGCAATTTTTTATATGGTAAATGATTATCAAGATAAACTGGGGTTACTTCTTTGAAAAAAAACTGACTGACACTGAGATATCAAAGATCAACGTAAACACATACATACATACATATGGCGAATTTCCTTAATAAAACACAAAACGTGATGATTCATGCATCTATCAAACTCAGACATAATTATTAACATCAAGATTGGAAAGTTATTTGACCTTTGAAACAGTATAGGTTATAAATTAATACCAAAAGTGAAAATCAAACAAACACGGATGATTGATAACTCCCTTGAATTAATTGAAAATATTCACAGATAATTATTAATTGACAAATATCGGCGACCTGATTGGTTAGTGAATTTTTAGTTAGCCCAACACATAGAAAATGTAGCTAGCCAGTGATTGAAGGACACTGGTTCATATATGCATGTAGCAATGTTTTTTTTTTTATTGAGATCATGAATCAATCAATGTTAAACGATCATTTAAACAATTTTCATGAATATGAATATAGGTGGAAAGTAGAAACTATTAAAATCAATCCAGTGAACCTAATTGTGAACTGATTACAAAATTATTTAAGTCTTATCACAATAGACGTAAAAAAAGATAAGAGTGGAAAAGTAGAAACTTTTCTGGCATAGTATTGAGAGGAAGAGAAAGCTATTAATCAGACATTCTTACTAATGAATAAATAAACAACTGCTGGTGATATTTGGTGAAACTGATGATTAGATTTACCGACATTCTAGTACAGTCGATAGGGATTTGAAAACATATATAATCAGCAGTGATAGAGAAGGATCCTTAAAAATAGAACAAATTCAAACAGCTCAAATACCAAACCAACAGAAAGAGTAACAATGACGATGAATTTATACTTAAAATCGTTTGTGAAAAGAACGATTGTTCAGTTAAGAGTTGGCTCAGTATTATCTTAAAATCTGTCATTTTCCAGAAGTCTGTTAAAACGAAGTGGTTAAAAAAGCTATGAACGTGAGAACAATTTACACAGAATAAACACACCACTTACAATATAGATATTCTTCACATTCAGCTTCTTCATCTCCCTGATCACATTTTTCCAAAGGAGTTTCCTGGTCCGATAAAGTACGAGCGTGTAATGAAGCCCCGTGTTCAACTAATAATTTAGCTAAAGGTACATTTCCACAAGATGCAGCACAATGAAGTGGTGTCCAACCATCTGTATCACCTGCGTTAACATCAGCACCAGCTGTAAGTACAAGAAATTCAGCTACATCCACACGACCAGCACATACGGCATTATGTAATGCAGTAATACCTTCGTCATTTGACTCAGAAACATCAGTAACCTATTTTTAAATGGAAAATCAAACAAGCAAACTAAAGAACAAAATGTGTGAATAAAAATAACAAATTAGTTGAGAGTCAAATATTTGTACTACGAAACCTTGATTTCCAAAAAATATGCAAAAAATGCTAATCTAAAATAAGGACTTTACGTAGTGACATTTAAAGTGTACTTAGCATAAAGATTCCATACATTACTTTAGTTTAATTCATTTGTATTGCTTGTTTAAATCTACTCATTGAAGTTTAAGATTGCGATTGGTCAGTTTCTCTTTGGCATGTGTGCATCCTGTGGGGATTGCCTCGATATTGCCATTAATTGACAAGTATTATAAGCAGAGATGGATCGTAGCTAGCTGTGAAAGAGATTGATCAATTGCAATGCTAAAAATCAATGGTTATATTCAAACAACAAATAAAAATGAATTAAACTTCATCTCATTGCACAAACCAGTGGCTATCTGAACTTAGTGATTAAGTAGATAACACGATGGCGTTTTAAGCGAACGCTACTGGGTTCCAGTCCCGGAGTGAACATCAATTATGGGATGCAGGTACATCCGGCTGACGAGTCCCATATAGGACGAAACGCGCGTCTTGGATCGCACGGCTAACCACCACTCATTTTTATTTATGATTACTTTATTAACTTGCTCTTAAGTGGCTTAAATTAAGTCACGAAACGTCAAAAATACAGTTTTCTACTCATTAGGGTATCACAAAAAAATATTTATTATAATCATTTCAGTTTATCTGTTCAAAAGACAAGCAGATTACCAGCAACTTGGGTAGTACATGTGAAAAATGGTTAATATAATTATGATAGTTATATAACTTTGATCACTAGAATTGAGAAAAAGAGAATGACTCTAATAACAATAATACGAATATGAAGAGACTGTCACAATACGAATATTTAGAAGTATCGCCACAATCGCATCAAATTTGGTTTAACAAAGAGTCAATTTAATTCACCATCAAACTAACAGGACCAATCGTTTTTTTATTATAAAAATATTCTTTAAATTCTAGTAGCTTATTCTTATATGAATAAAGAACCCTTATTAGCATGATGATTATTGAGTAAATTATAGATTATATCTAACACCCTAAATAGGTCAAAATATTGATAAACTCAAGAGTTCAATCATTAAAAAAACTGGAAATATCTCACTAACCTCAGAAGCTGCTTTTTTCACTAATTCCAAATCACCTTCCAATGCAGCATCGAGCAATAAAGCTAATGGATGAAATCGTACAGAATTCGATTGGCCTGATGAAGATGTTAATGATTGAGTTGTTTCAGTTATACCATCCAAGCTAGAACTTTGTTTTGAGGTAGGTGGTGATGAGGAAGATTTTGATTTACGTAGAATCGATTTAACTTGCCTTTCAATGTAATTACCTAAAATACAATTTTTTTTAAAAAGAGATAAAATAATTCATTCGACAGAAAAAGAATGGATGAAAAAAATTTCAACAGTATTAACATGGTAAACTTATGAGCTCATAAGCTTAGATTCAATGATAACTCAGATATATTATGAATATTACCTTGTATCACGTTGATAACGTTACATATAACCATAAATGTAAATTGATTCAAACATAGAATGAAAAAAACACATTTAAATGACGACATAATTATCCATACAACTGTTTACAACAGTAAACAATTGTTTGAATGATAGATGCATAGATGTTTATATTCCAACTCTTAGTTAACATAAAATTTCTTTATCCTATTCCCAATCGATTATCACAACACAAATAGAAGAGCCAACCGATTTTACAACTCTGCCTTTAATACGGTAGCAACGAGTTAGTCATTATCAACACAGAGATTGTTATAGACGTTTCTCTGCCCAATTTCTCATATCGCATCAAGTAGATGAGATAAAATATATAAAAAGATAATCAGCAAGCGTAAATAGTAGTAGTATCAATAATAGTAAGAAAGAAAAGAAAACACAATACAAAAAGAAAGGATGAATGCTAAGAACAAAAAGTGTCACATAATATTGAAACTTAAGACAACAGAAGATGAAGAGTGAATATGTCTTTGGCACTGTGATCTATTTGGGGTTATGTCAAACAATATTTCTAGACACTGATTCCTTTTGTCGTGTGGACTCCAACCAGAGAGTCTGCATCTTCCAGTATAGATCAGTCGAATCAATCATTAACTTCATGAACTCATTCTATGTCTTGTCTTCGCCCCCGCTCTTAGTGAAGTTGAATTTGCTTTGGTAACATTGATATACTTAAGCCAATTACGATGATAGGGGTTTCGAATAAGAAACTCAACAGCTAAACAGATTTTTAAAATTCCATTTACAGTTGTCTTCGACTAGTCGTTTATGAGTTACATTCCTTTGCAAACTTAAAATATTAAATTCTAATACAGGTTATGTAACCATACTACCGATCACTGAAATAAATACATATTCACTTCTATATTTGCTGCAGTTAGTTTACAACGTCTATCAATCTGTAATTCATCTATCTAGATAGTATTGAGAAAAATATAGATAATCAAATGACAATGTATAATCAATTTGAAATTACAAATGTGAGTCCATTTAATACGAGGGTATCATTTGCTTTATGTCTTTATTAAAATGACTCATTAAATTGCGACATAGAGATTTTTTCAGCAAGTTTCCATCATGGTCCCATACTAATAGATGATTTTTTCAAAGTGAGTATGAAATTAATATCACATATATGGTTACGTGACAAGGAAGATAGAATTTTGGCATCTCTAGATGGATGACACAATTATAGTTCTAAAAAATTAAAGATAAAGTATAGAATCTATAGTAAAAAGGGTTATACCGTTTACCAAATAGTCACTTATACAGTGAAAAAAGTGGTAGTAATCCATTCTCGGAAGGCTGTGTTACTGAAGTTAAATGAAAAATGTATATTCAGAATTATCATTATCAGGCAAGTATATTAATAATTTGTTGAGCTGTGTTCTATTACAATAGAAAACGAGTTTAGTTATATATTTGATCTACAAAGCTAAAACTATTCACTCTCGTGACATCTTCCAGAGGTTTCAAATTATCTAAGATCCACTTAGTACAAATAGATAAGTGAAGTAAATAAGTCTCAACTACCTTAAATTCTATGATCACACTACAACGACGTGAAAACGATTGCAGGCACAAGTTTGTAACAAGTATATAATACAAAACGAATATTAAGCAGTATCAGTTCCGTTTATGAAATTCAAACGATTGTCTTCATCTAACAAAACAATTTGAACTGTTTACTGTTATTTATAGAGTGGATACTACAATAAACAGTCTTCATTTACTTATAACAATAAGGTATAAATACCTAGATCAAAGTATTTATTTATGAGTATAGGGATATACAAGAAAAAAACTCACAAGAGCTGTTATTCATGCTGACATTTACTCCGTGTTCTTCATCTACATAAACCATAATTCCTGGGGAAATTTCTTGTTTGTTCACCTCACCACGTTGAACGATAGCAGTAGTGATAGCTGAAGGAGAAGTTATATTGATTGTAGTATGAATGGTAGCATTAGTTGTATTTATTGTTGTAGTTTCAGGAGTCATTATCGTTGTCATCTGTAAAATAGATGTTGATTTTTTAATTTGTGGTTGTTGATGTTCTGACTTTACAGTATGGTCGGAACCGCCTAGACCACTATCTACATCACCAGAATTTTGTTTCTGTTCATCTTCAGGTGAATCAAACTCACTGGATAATAAAGACAATTTGTGCTCATCGTCTGGTTGTATATCTATACCAATTAGTTCCAATGAAGACGAGGATGACGACGGTGAAATGGATGGGGACGATGGATGTAAACTAGTGGTTGGATAGACAGAAGTGTGAACTTTTTGGTCAGGTATTTTGTCGTCATTTTCATTAGTGATTACATCTGGCTCATATGATTCGTTAGGATGATGTATTACAGAAGAACAGATTTGGTCTGATGATTCGGTGTTCTTCACAATCTGTTCATTCGTTTTCATTGAATTAATGTTATATGCTTGTTGTTGGTGGTGTTCAGAGGTAACTGAATTATTTGACCATTCAGAAGATGGTATCGTTGGTGTTGATGACTGAAGTGACGGAGACGACGATTTCACATTTAATTTGTTCACACCAGCTAAATAAATTTCACTAGCTGCACGTTTATATTTTTCAACACTGTCACGGCATATACGACGCATATATGTATCATTAATTACAGCACGTGATGCATATCTTGGTGGAGCTTTAATACGTGGAATAGGCAGTGGGTGGACTGTAGCAGGTGATAGTATATTATCTTTATTACTAATGCAACTAATATTGTTGTTTGTAGTGGTATTCGGGCTCCAAATACCAACACCGGGATGTAACTGCATGAATGTGCGGAAGCATGACCGACGACTAGATGTAGGTGGGCTACTAGCTCGTGTAAGCACTGAACTGAAGGCATTGTTTGATGATGTCGCACTAACAATTGTTGTTACTGGTGTTCTTGATATAACAGGAGTTGAATGGGATATGGGAATATGTGGAAGGGTAGTCGAAGGAGGAGGAGAAGAATGATTATCATGAACACTTGGACTTGCGTCAATGAGCCTATTTTATAAGGAAAATATACAAACATGAAAAAACGGTGGATTTTTTTCTTATACACAAAGTAATGAATTACAATAATTAAGACTCCTATTTGGGTTAATGGCAATTAACTGATCGAATAACATGGATCGGTGATAAAAATTTATCTCTTCAATATGATCAATATTTAAACATAAATTGTCAAGGAAATGTATGAAGACAGAAACTATTGAGTTTAACAGTATAAAAGAAAACAAACAAACATTATCGAGAGAGATTCTACATTCGCAAAATGAGAGGGAATTAGAAAAGGCCTGATCCATAAAATACAAATTCCACTTTACGGATATCCATTGCCTGTTATAAAGCCTCAGGAAGTGTGGAGTTAAAACATCAAGAGCCACTCACATAAAAACACGATGTGTAACCAGTTTTTAAGCAGTTGTTCCTTGGACTCTATGGTCATACCACCTAGTCGCCAAGACCACCACTAAATCAGTTACCTTTACAGCTACAATTAAACTAGTCTAATGATTCTTGCCGATTACGTCCAAATATTTACTTTTATAAATACTATTTTTCTCAAAAGCACATATAATCAAAAATGACAGAAAGAATTATTTCAAGCAAAAAAAATTTTGACACGAACCAAACAAACAAACTGTATCAACACTCTGAAATTAATTGACAAGATGAGACAGTTTATGATATGCTTGATGGCATTACGAATTCACCCTACTCGATAAACGGAACGAAGGTAAAAGACACAGTGACACGATAGGCTATTCTAATCCGTTGTCTTCGACCCTGCTAACTAGATCAAGAAGTCTTGATGAGGAGTAGAAAATGTATTCTACAAGCACCCAGAAAGTACTAGGTCACTAAGCACACAAATCAAGCTTATTTATACAATGATGGAAACGCCCTTAGGAGAGCCACAAAATAGCGTCAAGGATTTCTGAGTGGGAAATGTAAGCTGTAGGTCAACTAGGCGTTTCATGGCGAGAAAACATAAAATTCAAATTTTCAGAATAAAATTACAAAATTAGGACCTTTTCTAAGTGAGTTCTGAGGATCTAACGTCCTCATCAGTCTATATTATCGTTTTAGAATATACTATTGATAAAGTAAAATGTCATGTTATTAACAACTTCAATCATTTCAGGTTAAATCGAATTAATAAATATACAACGATGATAACAGTAAATAATATTCAGTTATATAATACTACGAATAAAAGCTTTCAGTTATATTCAATTTACTAAAGAAAGATATAGTGTAAATAACATGAATAACCGTAGGCGGAATATAAAGAATGAAATTACTATGATATAATATTTAGATAATGACCAAACCTCTTGTATAACATATTCAACAATGTGATTTAAATACTGCGGAACAAAAAATAAATAAATAATTAAATTGTGAACAAGATATATAATATTGCTGGAGCAAACATATACCGATAACTGGTCCGCTACCTACAACGATAAGATTACCAATGACAAGTGTTTTTTTTAGCACTCTTGATTGGAATAAAAAGAAAACGATCAATCGAAACATTATCTTCTGTAGGTATGTCATCTTTGCTTTTTTTAATCGAAAAAAAATAAATTTACGTGGACTGTCGAGTCTTATGAAAAATAGCAAATCAGACTGTTGTTTTCCGGTTAGTTTAATATTAGTAATCTTTAAAACTTACATTAACTGATAGTTATTAGTTGGCTTTCATTTCTCCATTTAAGAGAGAGACAATAATAAAGCCACACTAGATAAGGCTTAATGCGTACTTTTATTATTAACGTACTATTTAAAATATAATACACAGTTGAGAAATTGTAATTCAAGGGACTTGAAATGCAGAAAAAAAACAAGTTTCCTATTTCATTGACACTTTATGATTTTAAATGATTTTAACAAGATATTATTTCAAACGGTTAATTACTCAAGAAGCACCTTTACAAGAAATGATGATTTACAAGCATCGGAACGATGAATATATAATAAATTATTCGTTAATATTATATAGTGTACAAATCAATTTAAAATTTTAAAAAAATAATAATGCAACTCATTTATCAATTAAAAATCTATGTTTTTAAGTTTTGAAGCACACTAATTATGTGACAGCTATTACGGTACTACTAGGTTGTTCAAAATGGATTCGTTGGAGTTGGTTCCGAATACACCAATGAGTATTTTAACTAATTAGTAACATAATATGCTTTAAAAATAAAACAGAAGCGATGTAGAAGCAATTATGACTGTAAAAAGTCTTGTGAAAATCGCTCTGCAATAATGAAGAAAAAAGCTAGTCTATGTTAAACCAGGGTTGTAAATATTTGAACAGTCGACGTCAAAAATAGATTCACTGTTGCAACTTAATTACGCGGTTTCTATTTTAATATACTTTAGTAACCGTTTCAATTAATAGAAAACTGTATCACTAATATTTTGATAGATATACGGACCATAGCATTTGTGACGTAACTACTAGGTAGTCAAGCACATGTTTTTGCTTTTCAGTTCCGAGTTACACTTTTTCCGCTACAATGACTACGATTTAGAACAGTTGTCAACACTGAAATAGATGGAACGACACAAATTCATTGAAAGTCGAATCCTTTGGCAATAATGAGTTTTAACTTTAGTATTAGTGACTTATGTATTAATGTGGAGCCATGATTAAAAAAAAATAGTAAAAAGGGATTATTTCTTTGTGTAACCTATTTATTCATTATGGTAGTATTTAAATCTCTGAGCTAGATGGTTTAACTGAGGAGCTTTCATTGTCATTTTGAACAACATGAGATGTAAATAAATAATATTTCACAAATGAATCATATCATCGAACCTAAAAATAATTTATTAATACGTTAATAGATTATAATCCTAATAATATACTCGTTATAAATCTTTAGCAAAATGAATTCAAAAGAGTTCGAATGATGTGAGTATTGAAGAGTTTACAAATAAATAAAATGAACGCTAATATAGAATTTCTTAAGAATTACCTCAACTGATATATAACTATTTCTGGAATGAATGGCTGTACCCAATATATGACAAACAGAATTGTTCACGGAACGAGCTCGTTTTCATAACCTAATAGGTCTCCCAAGCTTAAAACAATGAATAAACTATCGTGTTAAGTCTACATATATAAGTTGATTTTCTGGATAATATTAAAACATTGATGTTACGGTTAACTTCTGCAATTATAAGTTAAACGCTAGTTTCACTACCTGATGCCAATGTACGATCGATTCACAGAGGATTTTAGGTAAGACGTGATAATTGAGGGGCTATAACAAATGGGACTATTAAAAAGTTCCTTTGTCATTGCGGTAATCAAATGACTTGTGGACTTCGTGAAGACTGTTATTTATGTTAGCAGATTTAAGTCTGCTAGAGCATGATTTTTTTTTCGCTCGACCCAGATTGAGACTAAGGCAAACTATAATAATTGCCACGAATTGTGTAATAACATTGGCTGCAACATTAACAGATGTCACTGACGCTTCAGATGTAAAGTGGTATGAGTATCGTAGAAATATATGAAAAATAAACATGACACGCTTATACAAGCGGAGAGCACACAAACAATAATGAAGCTATGTAGTCAAGGTTGAAATAGATTTTGAGACCTTATCACTGGCTTTAGAGGCCGAATATTATGGAGCCATATGGATGAATTCCTTTACCATATGCATTACGAATTTATTAACTCTGAACCTCTTTCTAACCTTGACAAGTTTATGAATGATGTAAAAGAAGTGTATCTGCTGAGATTCTTCAATTATGAACAAATATTTTTAACCTATCCTAGCTGTTTCCTGATTGACTAATATTTCTCAAGGTCATTTCGAATTCGTTGACAGGCCTTCTAACCAAGTAACAATTAAATATCTTTATGTATATTCAGGCGATCTACTCACAAACAATCAAGTAGTTAGTATATCCCTTTGACATTTGCAGTTGATCAATAGTCTACTACCAAAGATGAATTTTAGTTAATTTGTTCGCAACAATTTTGTTGAAATAAAACTTCTTTGTATGTTATAAACAGAAATGTTGACTTTTTTCGTGAATGGAATTCTAAGTAATCAGAGTTTTAGCATTAGTTTAACAGAAATAGTACTAGATGATAAGACTGTTTATCACAATCTTCCCTCGCATTCTTCACGATACTTACGCCTGTTACTCCAAATACAGCATAGATCGCCGACCAGCATTCTCCAACCCACTCTGTCATGGGACTTCCTTTATAGTTCTATCCAACTTTTTTCATTCTTCTCATGTCTGTTTCCATTTATTGGCCTGATGTGTTCTTTGGTCTTCCTCTTCAGGACCTTCAGGATTCCATGTAAGGGCTTGCCTTGTGACGCAGTCGGCTTACTTATTAAGCCTGTTACTCCTAATGGAACATACGCCGCCAACCAACTTTCTCCAACGCAGTCGGCTGCTTTCCTCAATGTGTGTCCTATCCACTTCCAGCGCATCTTCCCGATTTCATCCTCCTCTGGAATCCGGTTTGTTCTCTACCACATTAGGTTGTTGCTTATAGGGTCCGGTCAACAGATCCGAAGTATTTTGAGTATAAAACTGTTAATAAACACCTGTATCTTCCGGATGATGGCTTGCGTGTGTGACACAAGAGCCAGATCATCTGCAAAGTCCAGATCGTCCAGCTGCAAACTAGCTGTCCACTGTATCCCGTGCTTCCCCCACATGTTGACGTCTTCATAATCCAGTCGATCACCAGGAGAAAGAGAAAGGGTGAGAGTAAGCAACCTTGCCTGACACCGGTCTTTACCTCGAACGAGTCAGTGAGCTGTCCTCCATGCATGATTCTGTAGTTTAATCCATCATAAGAATTTCCTATGATATTGACTGTCTTCTCAGGCAGGCAGGCCGTAGCGTCGAAGAAGCCTCCATAATGTTGTCCTGTCCACGCTATCAAATGCTTTCTCGGAGTCAATCAAGTTGATGTAGAGTGGTGAATTTCATTCACTTGATTCTTCCACAATGATACGTAGAGTTCAGATTTGATCTGTACACGATCGATCTTCATGGAATCAAGCATGTTGGTCTAGAAGTTGGAAGTCTATGGAGTCCTTCATTTTTATTAACAATACCTTGTTGAAGACGTTTTTTAGTATTAAGAGAAGAGTGATGCCCCTGTAGTTGCCACACGTGCTGAGATCGCCTCTCTTTGGTATTTTGATCAGAAGTCCTTGTTTCCAGTCTCTTGGTAGTTGTTTTTCAGCCCAAATCTTACTGAAGAGAATGTGGAGTATATCTACGGTTACTGCTACATCTGCTTTCAGTGCCTCTGCTGGAATGTTGTTTGGTCCCGCTGTTTTGACGCTCTTGATTTGTCTAATGGCCATGCTGATCTCTTCAATTGCTGGTGGGCCAACATTTATAGGCTATTAATGGAAAAATATACGAGTTACTACCTAAATTCAAGATTACTTTCTTCGGTCAGTAGTAGCAGATAAGAACAGAATGGTAGCATTAATTTCATACTAGATTAATGACGCAATGAAGAGATGTTCATCAACAGACTCGCAATGACATGTGAATACACATTTAGCCTTAATAAGTTGTCTCAAAATGACAATAACCTGGCCTAAGATATTATTTCCCATTGGAGAAATGGTGTGCCCTGGACTTCGGCAACCGGAAGTTTTCATGTATATACATAACAATCTTTCGAAGTTACTAAAAGTGATACTAGCCACCTCACGTGAAAAATATGTAGCTGATCATCAAATATATGAACTATTTTATAATGCTATCAAATTACAAGAAACTCATATAATTCACAAGTGAGTTGTAAACGTCTCCTCTTCCCTTGACACACTCTTGATGAATGTTATTATTAATTTGGTTTTCAATGATAGTCAATTTTTAATGTAAGAAGTTTGTGGTAATTATTCAAGTTTACAAATTACATCACATTGACCTTAATTAAGTAACCAATGAAGACCAGAGAGTAATGAACAGTTCTTTCATCCTAGTATGGGATTCCCAATTAGTGCATATCCATGAATCAACCAGCGTTCGAATCTAGGACCTTCAGATTTCGAGATCAAAGCCAAACTTTTAGATAATTCAGTCAAAATCCCGCGAACTTCCATCTCTAATTTCGACAATTTCTCGATACTGCGCGACTTTTGTTGAGATCATGTATAGGTACCGTTAATTCCTATAATATGAAGAAAAGGTTTTCTGCTGCTTTTGGTTTTCAATGACTGCCGAAATAAGTGAAGTTTGTGAAATAAACTTGTCTATTAATTATTCTTATCGATAAATTGAATGCGGTCAAAGTGAATTCAACTTGGAAAAAAATTAATGTTGGGATGACAATGCAATTTTCTCGCAAGCGACATGACAAGCTCATGGGTCATCAAGGAGCATTTCAACCAATCAGCGATTAACTCGAAGTTATGTTACTAAAATAACGAAAATGGAAAAGACACATGTGGATATCCTGATTGGCTGATTAATGCACTGCTACTATGTTTAGCAGTATTCTAGAATTTTCGGTAAAACTCAGGGACTCTTAAATTACTATAAAATCCCTATATTTTATGTACATAAAGGAACACTGTAGTAAAGTGCTTCCCACACACTTTGTGCATTTTCTCTGGTCTTCAAGTCGCTGAGTAGTTCTAGCTCGGAGGTTACGGAACTAGCTTAGGGAAGCGAAAATAGCGTTCAATCGACCAGACGTAACAATTAACAAAAATGAATCTATTCTATCTCGAGATTGATCGGTTGTTCATCAAAATAGTACAAAGAAGCAAATGCAATAAAATGAATTCAAATTGGTTTCACCTTGATTAAGACATATTGCTTTTATGATAGGAATAGAAGATAAACAAACAATATTGGTATAAGGTTAAGAAATCCCATTACAGTACATTTAGTGTTTGTAGGAATTTTTTCATATAAATATATTACTACTACTATGGGTAGTAATAGTAATGGTAGTAGCAATGAAAACTGTTAGTTTTATGAAATGTCAAATGATGTTAGATGCTTTTGGGTTCGCTTTACTTTACATAAAGTTTGTGTTACAAACAAATCGATAAAATTAATTTATATACATGAGAAAAATAGGAACTGAATACTTAAGAAAAAGACGAGGACCTTCCTTCTCACACACTGGTACTTTATTTCCTATATGCTGTTGGTTTTGCTGGTTTCTTTTTTTATTTTGAGTGTTAAGCAAATATCTCTTTTTAGAAGAGTAAATACAATCGGGATGTAGTGAAACAACTCTCATCAATAGGAAAATAATTTCGTGACAATAAACAAAGTAATGATATTATTTTCTTGGTAAAAAATCATAATAACATAAACAAAATAACTAATGAACTGATCGATAAATAGATACTAATTGTTCAATCTAGTTACCTTAAGAAATAAAGATAGTTACTACTATAAATGAATCGCAACGAAGGTTGGGATTACCAAAAAATATATGCTATGAAATATGCATACCCGCTTTCTCGTAATAAGAAATAGACTTATACCATTGTTAGAATTCAGGACTGAATTTTGATATAAGTACATTCTGTGAAGAACATCTATACACTCATCTTGTCAGAAGTTATTGAGAAAGACACTGGGTTTGAGTAACAATGTGAACATCAACAGGGTAATGTAGGTGATGAGTCATAAACAAGACGAAACTAGATGCAATTTATCTATTCTCTCTCTCTCTCACTAATCTCCACTATATATATATATATATATATATATATATATATATATATATAACATGTTCAGTTTAGTGAATAAGCAAAAGGAAACAATCCATTGTCCTATGACTGATTCTTTGGCTAAATTTAAACAGATTAGGTGTTTTAAATTCACTTGATATTGCTTACTTGAATCTTCCCATTGATCAGTCTCTTAAGTGTTTTATTATTTAAATTAATCATGGTAAGTTCGAATTTATTGGTGTTAATTTATCCTGGTGATTAATCACTTGTCATTTGGATAAACAATTCTTAGTTATATTATTCACCTCAAATATATCTTATGCATATAAACGGTAACTGCATTTCATTCAAGTGAATTTATTTGACTGGGCAATATACTTAATTGCTTGATAATTTTTCAGTTAAAGTTGAAAGTTTGGTTCGATCAGTTTTCGGTTCAATAAAAAAATAAACAAAGTGAAACTTGGTCGAAGTGAACAACAGGGCGAATGACCATTTTGCGTTTTCTGCTTCAATATCAAGTTTTTCCCATACTTCATCTTTTTAGTGTTAGATGATAATTGTTGAAGTAGTTTGTGACAGTTGCTGTTATCAAAAGTCCAACAAAACTGTCTGTATTAGAATAGCTTAATCATTTCTTAATAGGAAAGTATCGTAGGTTAATCGGAAACTCCGATAGACAATCGGTTTAAAACGATGTAACAATTAACAATGAAAACTGGTAAGCTAAATAAACATGGAAAATACAAATCGAAAGGAGAAGTCAACATTGAAGAATAATACATACATGAAGTAATATTTAATAGAAAAATCTAGGTAATAAGAAATTGAAACTAATGTAAAGCATTTCGCGTAAACACTGCACATTAGAATAACCAGGTAATAGATGAATAAAACAGTAAAAAATAAAAACCGTCGAAATATATTTAACCTTAATAATAAAAATGATATATTTATAATAACTCAATGAGTAGAAAAGTTGAATGTTATGACGTTTCGTAACTCAGTGTAAGCCACTTCTTATTCTCTGAAGAAAGTAGGATGGAACTTGATCCATCACCAAATTATTCAGAATCAAATTCATAATCAGTAATTCACAGTTTCAGTGTGAATTAAGAAAAGTAATTTTGTATTATTTAGTTTATACTATGAAATAGAATAGTGTTAACGAATTGAAGAAATGGCAAATAAATTGTAAGAAAACAAAATGAATTGTACTTCATCGGCTCTCGTGATATGTCAATAATTCAATTCGTTAAATTGATAGCTGATGATAGGGTGATAGAGCATTACAAAGTGACTCCAGTTTGCACTGACCAAGTACAGATACTTACAACTCTTAGTAGAAAGCAGTCGTTAAGCATTACTGACTGATTAAACAATGTTTGGTGAAGCGGTGTTTACTGAAAACAGAGTGATAATCATTCAAAACATAAAAACGTACCAGACATTGGTTAGAATTCGATTCTAGCTAATTAAAAAGCGTAATCGGCTAATAACTACAAGTAACTAATTTTATGCAAGCGAAAGATTAGTGAAAAGTATCACTACAAATAAGAACGGTGGGTATTTTATAGACAATGCTTGATCGAAATAGAGATTTCAATTGAGAAAAATTTGCAAATAAATGTACTGTAATTAATTCTGAAAGTAACCCGATAATATAATAATTTGTGATTTCCAATAACAACCCACACTGAACAATTAAAAAGTCATTACATACATCGATAAGTACATAGACTTCAATAAGAGTCCAGGATAATGAAAAAGTATAAAATTCTTGGCAATATAAATCGCAACTGAATAAATTCATACTTACCTAGATTTCGAGTAGTTATGATGATATGTTGAATAAGATGGTAGAGGAGCAGATGGAACAGTAACCGATGGAAGTGAACTCGAAATGTGAGGTGCTAGTGTTTTTTCCGATACAACTGAATTTACAAAGTGTAGATTACTCTGACTGGAAGACCATGTTTGTATGGGAGGTTTACGCCCAAACACTAAAGCGAATTGTCTGTCCAAACGATCTGCTTCAACAAGGCCATCATGCCATCGTTTCTTATCCTAAAATGGTTAGAAAATAGAATATTAAAAAATGGTAGTCAATTCCTTTCATTTAAAACTATTTGTTTAAATATTCCTAACAGTAATTTGTATTGGTTGTTTGGATCTTCTCATTGATGATTAGAACAGAAATTGACCATTCTCTTTTCGGTAAATGTGAATCCTGAGCGAAAGAATTATCAGGAGAGATGAGGTGAACATCAACTTTAAGGTGGAGGCACGTTCAGCTGAAGAGTCCAAAATAGGACGAAATGCGCGTCCCGAACTCCATTGCTAGCCATTATCCATTTCTGCTTATAATTCTTAATAGTCGCTTTCTTCAAAATGGGATGTTTTTTTTCATGAGAAGTAAAGTAAATAAATATTAGGAAGCTAAACAAAAAACTGTTATAATCTTCAGTGTATTTATTTCCACGTTATTAATGTAAATTTCTTATCAAATGATCCACCACTTTGACAAAAGATAAAGTATATCCCAGTAGAAAATTTGAAAAAAAACGATATGTATATGTATATGCATTTGGAGATATCATTCAATTCAATGTTTACATTTATGAAATTAAAAACACTTACTAGTTCAGAGAAAAAAGGTGGTTGCATAAAAGGTAGGTTAAGAGAAAAGGAAGGAGTTTCATCCGATAAATGTGTTGGATTAGTTGCAACTGTTACTGTTGTCATTCCGGCTTGATTTATTGTTTGACAGCGTGCACTTGCAATCACATTATGCCACTGACTAATTAAAGTTAACATACGTTCAGCTTCATCTGCTCTTTGTCGGTAAACTTGTAAATCACGTTCTTTACCAGATAACAGTGATGCTAATCGATCAATTTCTTTTACTAGACAACATGAAGTTTCAATAAAAAACAGAATAACATTAGGCGCATATATTGAATACACTTTGAATGTATAAATTAAAGCACGAAAACAATAGTAACAAGGAAAACAAAATTATTTCACATTCAAAAGCCAGTTCTTCGCCAGCTATTTCGAGAAGCATCAGAAAATCACATAGAATATGTGTTTAAACATCGAACACTCGAATCTTTTCTTTATTAATGAGTTGTAATAACTAAAATTTAAATGGAAGAGGTTAGGACGAAAACGTAATTAAAACTGTAAATATCGTTTATTTTGAATGGGAATTCGATTCCGTACCAAGAAATGCACCAAATGAAATGAAATGACATTACCGTGAATAAATAAATGACAGGAAATAAGAGTAGTAAATGTCGACGTGTACACTTCGCGTAAAAACACAAGTTAGAAAACCTTACTTGTTTAGGTGGATTATTATAATGGTCATAAATCATACAACAAAAAACTGAAGCAGAATCGCTATCAGTCTTTATTCTGAGTCAAATAACTTAAAAGAAAGATTACTTTAACTAAACACTTTCATATGAAATCATTTTCAAAACTTACTAGATCCAAATATTGATACTTCAAGTTAGAATATTCAATCAACTTTGGGATACCTTAAGGACTATTCAGTTGAGTCAGTCAGTCGTAACTAGGCGGTAGTTGAGCATACGTAACGCATGTCCCAATCATCTTAATTGATGAGGATATACAGCCTTATCAACCGATTTGTCATCTTCACTGAATACGCTACATTTAACCCTAACGTAGCCCACCTGGTGATCCTAACATAAGCGAACAATGCTTCGAAGGCAACTATGATTTATGACGTGGAGTGCCGATCAAAAGTAGCCTAATAAGAAGGTCAATCTATACTAATCAGCAGTGACCTGAAGGATAGGTGCATTTTATTAGCTAGGATTAGAATTATATATATATATATATATATATATATATATATATATGCATTTTATTCGGTAGCCCAATATACATTCTCGCTCAAGTAGTCAATTAGGGAATTACCGCGTAACACATCGCGTACCAGTATCAGATTTTGGACACCGCCCTTCAAAACAATATGATAAACACTTAATTTAAAGACTATGAATAGATTTATGTATTAAATTATGATTTAGCAATTATACGAACTTGCTTTCCGAGTGAAGGTATATAGAGGTAGACTCAGGACCGACTAAATCCCACGTATTAGAGTCTATTGTTAAGTATATTGTTAATGTATCACAGTTAATTTCTTAACTCTCTGAATAGTAAAAACTAAAATATTACTTCATTTTGTTTGTACTATTACGTAACGAACTCACAATATATCTTCTGTTAGATAAAAAGATCAGAAATTATTTGGAGGGCATTAGTTCATAAGTAAAGCACAACTGAGTAAGAAAAAGATTAAATGAAGATAATCAATAATTTTCAAACGATAATACCTGGCACAAATTAGCAAATCACGTCAGCACGTAGAAAGGAACTGAAATAATAATACCTATGTCAGTGTTGAAATAGACGTACATAATATAGTTCAAAGAAAGTAAATTCGGGAAATAAATCATTTAGAAGAAGATTAAGAATAACCACATCTTTAGAACCGATTTCTAACCATGACAACTAGGAAAAAATATGAAAGACACAGGATTCAAACCTATCGGTTTTTAGACTGGTGGTATATAAAACGACCACATGGGACTCATTGATTTATTTATCAATTGGAACAAGTTAATTAATAAATAATACTCCTAAAAAATACAGACAAATTACTGATTGTGCACAGAATTTATCTTTGTAAAAAGTAATCCAACACTTAATATTATATCCAAGTGTACAATCAAAATTTATTGTTCTCTATACATATTTAGTGCGTATCCAATATTAAGAATAATAGAAAGTGTTCACTTTGACATTTTTATACTTTTATACAAAATGGAATTATTTTAATAATCATTAAAATCTTCTTAACCACAATTTAACACTGAAATCATAATAATAATAATAATAATAATAATAATAATAATAATAATAATAGTTCCAACACAGATAAACATAGTTAATTGCATCGACTGAATAATAATAATAATAATAATAATAATAATAATAATAATAATAATAATAACCTTAGTCAATGCCATAAATTTTAATACAATATGGAATTCACAGCATTAATTGTGCAATATTACAGCAAATTTCTGTTTAACATACATTTAAATGGCAAATAACCAAAAAAAAATTTTCTAAAAAATATTTTCAATAATCAGTACATACACCATTTATCTTCAATCACGAAATTTTTTCTATCAAATAGGTTACTACTATTATTAAGATTTTTTTCCATCTAACATCTATAAGATGAATATCTTATTCAAATGTATTTGTTTTACCAAAAGAGAAAAATATCTAAACAAGTATAGTGTTTTCATTTGATTTTTCTAGTGTTCAATATCACACTAATTTGTAAGTCTTCTATGATACAGTGTGAGTACATACAGGTACGTTAACATTCATAATCACTAAATTCAAACAAATCTGAAAAAAAGAACTTTTATTAGAATATTTACACAGTTTAAAGTTAGGTGGTCAAATCTTTTCAGAAGATATGTTCAGTTTCTAAAGATTAACCTAATACATGAGGTTAGTTTGTCACGAACTGAAACCAGTTAAAGAATCATTATTGAAAGCTATGGAGCATTGACCAGATATTTTATATCTACTTTGAAAATGCTTAACAATTCGAGCTTAATGTTATATCCTAGTGAAGAAATAAGTACAAGTAATTTCCGTGATCTATTAATGGACTATTATTCTATATATATTCCTATTGTATAACTATTCAGTGATTAGATTTAATCTACATATATTCATCTTATTATAAGCTTCATTTTGACCCATGGATTATTATTATACGAATTACTGTTCCTAAATTATACTCAGTTTATTGATTACCATCTCCCACGTTCACAGCCACATTTGGCTTGATCTTGTAAAAATATTATTTTCTATTTCACGGTGTGATGCAGTCTGTCTGTCTAGGATATAAACCGAGCATACTTGAAACAAATGATTCGCATAGCAGAAGCTGTAATTGGTGTTTAGGACTCGATTGGAAGGGCTAGGCGGACAAGAGACCAATAAGGACGCTAGACTGCTCATACCGGTCGAACATCATTGTTTTGGCACGTGCTAAGATTGGAAAAGTCGTATTTCGATTGGTGGGTAAATCACGTGATAAAAAGTCGAGCATAAAATCATAACACTTACAACCCAAAAAAGGAATGGCATTCAGAACCTTTGGGTCTTTAGTAGACCGAGTTGCTTTAAAAAGTATTAAGTTGGGATTCAGTGTTTTACATTATAAATTCCAATCGATTCACCGAGAAGTTCCAAACAATGATTAAACAGGTATTTCAGAGGTTCTTGATTTTCAATAGCTTTCTAAGTGATGAAAAGTCTTTTCAGAATTTATGAATGAATGAAACTCACACTACACTCCTAAAAAGTATTTGTTTCTTTTTTTATTCTAGCGTAATAATGAGAAAGATGTCAGTTAAGCGAGAAAAGTGAATTAAATTTATAACGACTTCTGAACTAATCGATACTAATAAATGAGACTGACAAAGTAGAATAACGTGAATTCCGGGAAAGTAATACATCATTGGAAAATGATGTAGGAAAATGAAATACCAACAAAACGAAAAAACTGCAGAAAAAGAGTTAAATACAAAATTATAGTGAAAAGATGAAAAGTAGATCAATAGATGTTCTGACAGTGATCAACAGAAAAAAACTAGAATTAGTGTCCTAATGGTTAACGGTACTTAACTGTAAAATTCATTTGTAATCTGTGACACATGTTATTTTTCGCCTCAGTCTAATTCATTGACGTTAAGATGGCCCAACAAGGATTAGCTTTCTTTAAAACTGAATTATTCTCACACTATTTTAGTCGCATAATACCCCGACTTTTTAAAGTTATCGATTGTCCTTTGGTTTTCGACAATGACTGACATCTTTTTTCCATTTTCATTAAAGCTTGTGATATTTTACCATTATAACTTTTACAGTTGATTTATTTGGATCTGTTTCCATTACATAAACCGGTTGATTGTAATGGGAAATTGACTTTTTTGGAAATAAAAGAACCTCAAGTATTACTACTACATTAGTATCAAGCCAATAATTGACGAAGCGACCAAAAGTCTAAATATGACAACTTTTAACACTCTCACCTAGATTTTCATTGCTCAGACGAACTTGTTCTGTTTGACCACGAAAACCACGTAATTTATGCAATCGGATTTCTTGTTCTTGACTGAGATCAGATGGTTTAAAAGTGACCTATAGAACAGCCAGAAAAAGAGGAATTCAAAAATCTACTTTGAACTATCGTAGAATAAAACAACAGGAAATTACATGACAGTTTATTATGTTGCAATCAACCCGAAAACCACTGGTTCAAACTTTCTAGTAATCCAAGAATGTTTCAAAAACTTTTTATTCTCACCCTTGTACATAAATAATTTCGTAATCGACATTCTCTAAAATAACTTATCTGTTGTTAATAATTTTCTTAGATAATCTGATTCAGCTAGATATTTGGATTGGGACAAGGATATTTAAATAGACATTTGTAATCAAACATTTTATATTTCGATGTAATTATTGAAAAAATACTGATGCCCATTGACAGAGTCATGCAAATATTGGTGTGAAATACGTAATTGGATTGTTAGGAAAAACAACACTCCCCATAAAGACGATATATAAACCGCTTCCAGATCTAGAAGTTATTTGACCAAATAAGCTACATGAAAAAAATCTTGCCCTGTGCAGTCAACTGATCTGTCGAGCGACACCAGAAATACCATAGGATATCTAAGACCAGAAGAGATTGTGAGTGAGTTGGCATTAATAGATTATTAACTTAGTCAAGCCCTCTCTATATGAAGTATTACTTGGATCAGTTTATATGAGTAGTAAGTATAATTCCTATTTTTTAAAAGCTTCATATTCATATTCACTGTCTTCACTCATTGTGGAGTTGGGCTAATCAAGTTTTAAGAGTGAGCATGGTAGTTACATATCATGATGAACAGTAAAGCAGAACTTACGATATCCATCAGGAGCTTAAGTGTACCATATGGAGTTGAATTTGATTAAATATTAACACGACAGTTAGAAACACTAGAGGAGATTCAAAAAGTACCATATACTTGAAGTAATTACTTCCAGTGCTAATTATTTTACTGCAAAAGCTCCTGAAAAGCATACAGAGAAATTGAAAAATACTTACTCACATACTTACGCCTGTTACCCTGGATGGAGCATAGATCGCCGACAAGCATTCTCCAACCCACTCTGTCCTGGGACTTCTTTTCTAATTCTATCCAACTTTTTTTGATTCTTCTCATGTCTGTTTCCATTTCTCGGCTTAATGTGCTCTTTGGTCTTCAAATTCTCCTTTGACCTTCAGGATTCCATGTAAGGGCTTGCCTTGTGACGCAGTCGGCTGCTTTTCTCAATGTGTGTCCTATCCACTTCCAGCGCATCTTCCCGATTTCATCCTCCTCTGGAATCCGGTTTGTTCTCTACCACATTAGGTTGTTGCTTATAGGGTCCGGTCAACAGATCAGAAGTATTTTGAGTATACAACTGTTAATAAACACCTGTATCTTCCGGATGATGGCTTGCGTGTGTGACACAAGAGCCAGATCATCTGCAAAGTCCAGATCGTCCAGCTGCAAACTAGCTGTCCACTGTATCCCGTGCTTCCCCCACATGTTGACGTCTTCATAATCCAGTCGATCACCAGGAGAAAGAGAAAGGGTGAGAGTAAGCAACCTTGCCTGACACCGGTCTTTACCTCGAACGAGTCAGTGAGCTGTCCTCCATGCATGATTCTGTAGTTTAATCCATCATAAGAATTTCCTATGATATTGACTGTCTTCTCAGGCAGGCAGGCCGTAGCGTCGAAGAAGCCTCCATAATGTTGTCCTGTCCACGCTATCAAATGCTTTCTCGGAGTCAATCAAGTTGATGTAGAGTGGTGAATTTCATTCACTTGATTCTTCCACAATGATACGTAGAGTTCAGATTTGATCTGTACACGATCGATCTTCATGGAATCAAGCATGTTGGTCTAGAAGTTGGAAGTCTATGGAGTCCTTCATTTTTATTAACAATACCTTGTTGAAGACGTTTTTTAGTATTAAGAGAAGAGTGATGCCCCTGTAGTTGCCACACGTGCTGAGATCGCCTCTCTTTGGTATTTTGATCAGAAGTCCTTGTTTCCAGTCTCTTGGTAGTTGTTTTTCAGCCCAAATCTTACTGAAGAGAATGTGGAGTATATCTACGGTTACTGCTACATCTGCTTTCAGTGCCTCTGCTGGAATGTTGTTTGGTCCCGCTGTTTTGACGCTCTTGATTTGTCTAATGGCCATGCTGATCTCTTCAATTGTTGGTGGGCCAACATCGATTAGGAGGTCCTTGGGTGCTACTTCGATGCTGGGTGGGTTCAATGAAGCTGGTCGATTGAAGAGTTGTTTGAAGTGTTCTACCCAATTGTTTTGGTTGTTCTTCAATGTTGGTGATTACCTTGCCTTCCTTGCTTTTCACTGGCCGTTCTGGTTTACGATAATCTCTAGTGAGTTTTTACGTTGTGTCATACAGTTGTCTCCTGTTTCCTTCTGTTGCAGCCTTATCCACTGCCATTGCTAAATTTTCCACATATTTACGTTTTTCGGTTCTGATGCTCCTCTTAACTTGCTTGTTTACTTCTGTGTATTGGGTTTGTGAATTGACCTTTTTTCTCTTGTTCGGCTGGTATTGATTGCTGACTTCCTGTTCCTCCTTTCTTAAATTTATCCACTGTATCAACAGTGATCCATTCCTTGTGTTGGTGATCTTTGTGACGCAGAACCTCCTAACATGTTGACGTTATTGCTTCTTCTATATCGTCCCAGTTGCTCTCCATATTAGTTCCACCTCCATTGAGTAGATAATGAAAGGCCTGAAACTTATTGTAGAGGGCTATCTTGAATTTTTTGAGTTTGTCAGAATCCTGAAGAAAAGCCGTATTAAACTTTTGTGGTGTTTTCAACCTGAAAAATACCATAACTATTATAAGTTTCAAAGTTATCACAATGATAAACAGAAAAGGAGCAAAAGTAGTGTACCACTGAATTTTGTTTATGTATTTACCTTTTCATTTTCAAAACATCGATTTTGTGCTGAACGTTGTGAATTCAACGAACGAAGCCATGCACGACGTTCTTCTCTAGCTTGTAATTGTTGAGCCTGTCTAGCCAATTGTTGACGTTGGCGTTCAGCTATTGAACGTAATTCACTAATGGTCATCTCATTCGTTTGGTCATCAAGCATTAAATCAGCTGTTTTTTCCTGTTGTAGTTGTGGGAGTGGCGGAGGAGGTGGATGAGAAGAAATATTACTATGTTTCTGACTTATTGCTACAGCTTGATGATTACTAACACTACTACGATTATTTATTCGTGAAGGGATAAATGTTTTATTTTTAAGTGTTGAATCTACATTTCCTGAGAAAATAGTAGCAGTCGTAGTCGTAGTAGATGGTATCGAGGTTGAAAATGGTCTCACTGAATTAGAAGAACAATGAACAGATACAGAGGCTTGTACACCGCCGCCTATTGGTGCACGGGACTCAATTGGGTTATAAGTTGATTCAACAGTGTTCGTATTTACCGAATAGTTGGTGTTAACAGTGCGAGGACTACGACGTGGACTATTTTGTGACGTCATGTCACTGGAGTTCTAAACAGATGTTTTAAAACAGAAAAATAAACAAGAGTGTAAATAATTTTAATGATCAGAAGTGAAATGATTATTCACCAGATGAAAACAGCTACCCAGTGCTTCCTGGTTTTCACTGGTAGTCTAGATACAACTAGACACCAAAAATATGATCCGAAAAAAATAAAATTCATTTGTGGGCTACAATACTCCCTAGGTGCACAAACTTAGGCAGTTTGTTTCCTCATGGAGGCTAGTCGTCGAACCTGTGACCTAAAGGTCTTATTTATTTTATTTAAACACATAAATATTGGTACAAGGAAGCACCAGATAAATATGCGCCTCACAAATTTCATTCGATTTGTGTGAGGGCTGTGATACTGCCCAGGTGCCCAGACTGAAGCAGGTGGTTTTCTTAGGGGGCCACACCCAGAGCCTTTGACCTGAATGTCTGATCCACAAGGCAGTGGAGCATCGTGAGGAGATGCAGTCCCATGGTGGCCGGTGACCAACAGTTGGTTCATACGCCATTCGTTCCTTCAGGATACTGGAGCCCATGTGCACCATTGGTTTGGAATGGGGGTTTTTCAACTCCCCTAGGTGGATCCTCCACATCCACTAACCCGGTTAAAGCGCCGGACATTCGCTTTTCGTCCTCTCACTTTTGTGAACAACACTACCGCCACGAGAAGGCGGGGGTGTTGTCCTCTCAATTCCAGAACAAAAAACATACCTTCGCCGTTTGAAGGTAGTTAGCAGGACTTCTCTGACAGGTGAGAACAAATATTGTATATCACAACATGCTAAACTAATTTTAACTTTATTTTTATAATTGTTTATATTTTTCTACCAAAAAGAAAAGAAGTTCAAATCAAAAAAATTATCTTTTGAGGATCGATCGAAATGTTACATAAATCAAAATAGAAAAAGGTAGTAGAAATATTAATTTTATTTAACAGGAAAACAATTCAGGAATTCTTGTTTCAATATGAATTTTTCACTTAACAATAAACGATCGGTTTAAATTAAGTTTTATTGACTATCAAATGAACAATTTTACAAAGTAGTAAGTAGATTTAGACAGAGTTCGTTATTGTAGAGGATATTGACAAGTTTTTCACTATTTATTAAACGATGTTAAAAAAACGCTAGTCGTATACTAATAATTAAAGCAGTGAACTCCCAAACACTGGTTTACAAGTTTTAAATCTATGTAACTTTGGTACGAACAAACAAATAAAATCAATGGACATTTGAGTGACTATGACTCAAATTGGGTGTATGAATGTGTAAACGATCAAACATTTAAGTTAGATTTTCAAGAAAAAAACAGGTGACCAACGCCACAGAGGTTGTAACAAAACTCAATTACAACACGGGGGTTAGTAAATGGATTTTAACGGCTACGTTTACAGATAACTGAGCTAGAGACCACCCTGGTTTTTGGTTGTCTTACATCAATCCATTTCAGTCAGTCACTAAACAGTGATACAACAATTAAACAAAGTCAAGCTCGAATTTAGATACTATTGCTGATATTATCGATAGGTATAATGTCATGTGTAACATTTTAGAATAACTAATGAACAAATGATAATAGTTACGGACTAACAACATAACTAAGCACATAAACTTTCAAGATAAACACAGTTTTGTCGACATAATAATTAAGCATATACATATGTTGTAAGCCCTCTTATCAGGTCAATTTATTTCACTGATGAAAAATGTGAAAGAAACCTGTGCAATGATGACTCAATGGAAAAACAAACAAAAAAATATGGGAAACCCAATAAATACAACAAATTGTTTAAATAGAAAACGAAAACAGAAGAACACTATACACCTTACAAGCAATGTGAAACAATTTGTTGCTGTGGTTACATAAAATAAAACAAGAGAATTGATGGTCAAGGCCACACAACAAACTGCATATCAAATATTGACTTGTAGACATAAACAGACAGACATGAATTCATATGATTTCAGCGTTAATCTTGATAACCCTGAAAAGGGACGCATTTCACCACACACATATTAAGTACTAATGAGTCATACACCAAAAGGTCATATGAAGGTTCGTACAGTCATTGTACAAACGAAATGAGAATTTCTTTATATTTACGCCATGAGATTTTTATGGAGATTAAGGCTTCTCTTCAGGAACAAAATTAAGCCTACAAAAGAATATTTAGGTGACAAGTGTTTCGAATCAGTGAAAATCTTGAGAATATTTCTCTTTATTACAGACAGATAACTGTAGGCCAATGAAAGCCAGGAGGGACGAAACAGTTTTCTCGTTATAGTTCGAAATTTCTCAGCAGTGCTTGCTCGATTTTATATGGAATAATGGATGCTTAATAACTCTAATAATGTATGCTGGAAAATCAACAACAAGACTTTCTACATGGATTACCCAGGATTTCTATTAGACTGTAATTAATTTCCGAATAGAACTTAGATCTAGTACTAATTATTATTAAAAAGCTGACCTACTACTACTACACTACATATACAGATAAATATGAGTAGTATATAGCAGGAATAAGAAGTAGGATGCTTGCCAGCAGAAGATTGAAATAAAAGAGGAAGAGAGACAAAGAGCAATAGGATTAACGACCGCATTGGAGGAATGATTATTATTATTATTATTATTATTATTAATGGGGTATGTAAAGGACAACCGAAGGAAGATATCCAATCGATGTATTTAGTTTGCGATTTTTATATTTTGCAAAGGAACTGTTTGATTTTGCATAAAACAATAAATTGGTTTACCGTACCTGAGTTTTCGTCCACTACACTACTACTACTACTATTACTACTAATACTACTAATAGTAATAATAATAATTTGAATGAACATGTAAAACCGTAAATCTATTTAAACGATAAATTCCCAAGTTATGGGTGTATGATATTTGAGCATCGACATCACTCAGAGTAAAATAAAGTTTGAGTCTGATTAAATACAAATTTGTTCGCTCAAATAAAACATCTATGAGTCATCGATATCCGTACAGTTAAATGTAATGTGAATATTTAATGACTAAAACTTTGGACAAAACGATATTTGTTAAATGGATTTTGTCTATTGATTGGTTCATATTATTTTAGTAATATAAACAAAAGTACCAATCAGTAGGTGTATGTGTGTGAACTGGACTTTCCAGTAGTAATAATGACAAAGAAATAATCTGGTTTTATGACACAAACGGAAATTTTTAAGAATAGATTTATATATCACTAAATGAATTTCTCTTTCCTTTCTACCCCACCTCCCCAACGTGTGCTTCCAAAGAATAGAAGCAATAAAAAAAATCTACTACTGATCAGTATGATAAAACAAAATTAACGACATAATCAATAAACAAGTATATGATATCCACATATATAATCAATAACACAGCTTTATTATTGTATAATTTAGTTTATAATTTAATTGAACAAATGTAATGTTAAATACAACAAGCGGATAGATCAAAGAGGCAAATGATGGATAGGTGTGGTTAAGTCATGACTACATATTAAACAAAAAGTATTTCATGTTCTGTGAAACTTAAGCATCATTTCTGATATACATTATATTATTCAAACTAATTCTTAAAAAAAAAAAATAAAACAAGACCTTTAGAACATTTCGGTGAGTAATTATTGCGTAAATTAATTTAATGATAAAGTAACAGTGGCTTTCAAAGCATTGCTCATACATTATGGAATGAGTGAGTTGGTAATGTTGAGGTTCGATATAAAGTACTAAGGAAAATTAGCAAATCAGTTGATGAGGTTGTCAATATTCCTTGACTGAGATGTTTAGAACATATTTAATGTATTCCATAAAGTCATTGATTGTTGGTCTGAGCCATGTTGATAGATGAAGACTATACGATCAAGGTCTAAGCTGTAAATCTGATCAAGGAAAAAAGACTGATTGAAAAAGTTTAGAATCACTCACAACGGCGTAGGTGAATTCGTGCTTTATCTTACTCTAGATTTTGAATTTCGGTATTTCCTTATAGACACCTTCCTATTCTGTCTTTTCGATCGATATTCTCAATATTCAGTCTTTTTCATTATTACTGATACGATGTTAATTTGCTTTTTTGCTATTCATTACATTATTTGGATTGCATCGTGTTGATGTGGCATGAAAACCGGCGAGACTAAACTACATGGACGACCTTTGAGCGAATCTTAAATGACCTCGAGAAATATTAGCCAATCAGAAGACAGTTAGTGTACAGTGAAAATTTATTATACAAAACCAAAGAATTAAAGTGGATACACTTCTTTTACATGAGTCAAAAACTTCTCAAGGTCAGATATAGGTTCAGAAGTTCTAAAATCATAGCGCATACGGTACAGGAACACATCCATATGGCTCCATAGTAGTCGACCTCTGAAACCATGATAAAGTCTCAAAAATTCTATTAGCCTCGACCACACAGCTTCAATGTTGTTGGTATATTGGTATGGTTTAGGGTTTAAGGTTAGAATTAAAGTTTAGGGTTATGGTTTGGGGTTAAGCATGGGACTATATATTATGGACGACATTTGAGCGACGCTAGTGGCTCTGAGAGTGTCAACATAATAACTAAGACTAAATGAGGGTTATAAACCCGCGTGAAAAATTCAACTTCTGATTTACAGTTCGTGGTTAAGGCTAGGAATTATACTTAGGGTTTTCATCACGAACTGACATCAGCTATAATGCCAAAACTCTATTTATCCAAATGGATAATTGAATTTTGCGCCGAAATCTTATGATCACTTCTCTTGTAGACGCTGAATTATTACGTCTTCTCTAAAATCCGTTGTAAACCGACCGTATGTAAGCATCAGGTACCGAACTTAGCGCCGTGACCTTGAAAACCCGCGAAAGCTTCTGATTGGCTCGTCCATATAGTTTAGTCTCGCCTGAAAACCTTGTTCAACTCACACATGTGCCAGGCCCTATGTTGATGATGGCAGCTAACTGACTGTCTGACTACCATTAGATTATCTAGACTGGATGACATAGAA